CCTAGACCAATACGAGCCGAAATTTCAACATTTATACTATTTCAGAGTGCTGTTGGTTCATCAGGAGAAATCCTTAATCAGGCATGTGACGCGAGTGGTATGTGACACGTGTCACTCCTACATATGTTCTAAGACATCTCATATTTTCACTCCTACAGATATTCCAAGACATCTCTTCCTGTCACTGCTACAGATGTCCCAAGACATCTCTTCCTGTCACTCCTACAGATGTTTCAAGCCATCTATTCCTGTCACTCCTACAGATATTCCAAGACATCTCTTCCTGTCACTGCTACAGATGTCCCAAGACATCTGTTCCTGTCACTCCTACAGATGTTTCAAGCCATCTCTTCCTGTCACTGCTGTCAGATGTCTACAGATCTCTTCCTGTCCCAAGATGTTCTCTCTTCCTGTCACTCCTACAGATGTTCCAAGCCATCTCTTCCTGTCACTCCTACAGATGTTTCAAGCCATCTCTTCCTGTCACTCCTACAGATGTTCCAAGCCATCTCTTCCTGTCACTCCTACAGATGTTCCAAGACATCTCTTCCTGTCACTCCTACAGATGTTTCAAGCCATCTCTTCCTGTCACTCCTATAGATATTCCAAGACATCTCTTCATGTCACTCCTACAGATGTTCCAAGACATCTCTTCATGTCACTCCTACAGATGTTCCAAGACATCTCTTCCTGTCACTCCTACAGATGTTCCATGACATCTCTTCTTGTCACTCCTACATATGTTCTAAGACATCTCTTCATGTCACAACTACAGATGTTCCAAGACATCTCTTTGTGTCACTACTATAGATGTTTCAAGCCATCTCTTCCTGTCACTCCTACAGATGTTCAAAGACATCTCTTCCTGTCACTCCTACAGATGTTCTAAGACATCTCTTCATGTCACTCCTACAGATAATTCTGCTTTGATTACATACAAGCTGTTGATCTATAAAAGTCCTCCCATCTTATCCCCCGTCCCAGTCTTGTTAAGCTAGGGATGGAAATTCTCTGTTTAGTAGGATATTACTCGCACTATACTCACACAGTTTAGCCAGTCAGCCAAGACTGTTCCCTGTGATGTGGCTACCACCGTACACAAGCGATATTCGTGGAGAATCCTTCCGATGATGTCTAGAAATATTCAGACATAATTTCCTGTTCCCTGTATTTTTGTAAATTATCTAGGTCTTTGTTAATCTTCATACAGTGATCTTTCTAACTCATCTAAAAGACACCCCCCCCCCCCCAAAAAAAAAAAACACTCAAAAAGAGCTAATTACTGCTTGAATAATATGAAGAAATATAATAATTATTTTCACAAACGTTATTCTTTAATTGTTCTCTTTCTGTACAAATGTAACAGATGACCAGTTCAAGCCATTCAAATATCTTTCATCTTTACACCGATTGCCTTTTTCTTCTGCATTCAACCTTAGAATAGTGGATGACACACCGTGTGATGTACAGCTAGGCTGCGATATCTGCAACTTTCAACCTAACACATCCAAATTCAGAAAAGCCTTCATTAGTCACTTTTTTACAACATTCAGATGGGGGGGGGGGGGGGGGGGGGGAGGGCACGATGGTTATATTCATGGGGCCCCAAACACACACACAGGGACAAGAGGTAGCAATTTAGGAATTCATTTTTCTTTCAGTTTAACACATGCAGGATCGATCATCAAGTTAATTTGTCTCTTAATATAACACATAAAGGTAAAGTTGGGAGATGTAAACCAGCATCATTGCACACGGTTATAAACCATATGGGCTCTGCCACCAGTACAGACAGCTGATAAGAAACTGTCCGCCTGTGTCGCCGTCCGCATGTAGCTACAGCGGCGCTCCTCCATTTACCCCAGAGTGTCAACTCTGGCACTCATTACCTTGAGGCTGGGTGAACCCCGGAAACCATTCGGTTTCTTACACCGGCCGTGGGCTGCAGCAAGTCGCAGCTGGATTTAAAAGTGAGTCTCCTATCGACTGCGCTAACGCGGCCCCTAAATATAACACATGACAGGATCTATCATTAAGTTAATTATTGTTCAAATAAAATACTGTCCGGAATCCAGCCAAGCTAATTACCGTGTACATAAAACATTATCCTCATGTGCCACGCTGGGAAGTGTGGCCAGTCGTGGCTCACAGTCACTACAATTTTGTGTCTGTGTTCTTGCCCTGCCCCTGTCAAGTGACCAAGCCCTTCTACCTCCTACAAAAGTGGTTCTCATCTGGTGGTCAGCAGTGCACATTTAAAGGGTCTGTGATGTCAATTACGATGACCCCTCAACTTCAGAACCAAACTGGTTTTTTGTGTGTGTGAAGAATTTTTTTCTGGAGGTCCGAAATGGTACGCTGTACCGGCACCGTTTTTTTAATATTTTAGGCATCCAATTTTTTTTCGGTGCAACTGTAATAAACACTGATTGGTGAGTAGTGGAAACTTTTATTTTATTTCATTGTTTTATTTTTTAAAAGCAAAAAGCCCTGATTTTAATACAGTGTCACTCCAATATTTGTCCTTTTCGGAGGAAAGGGCGAATATTAAAAAAGACGAATTTCAAATAAGTTTGTCCAATAGGAATTTAAAAAAAGTTCAATCCGTTCCCAGTGCCATATTTTGCCTATCTATTCTTTGATAACAACAAAATTGCACTTAAAAATCAGTTTCAGAAATTACTGCAAATACATTTTAGTTACATAATATCTAGTGTACTTATTACTGCTTTTTCACTGCGCCAGAGATTAACTCTTCCTAATGACATCATTATACAGTAGGCCTACATAAATAAAACTTCAAAAAGACATGCACCTCTTTGGAAAGGGGGAGTTACCTTCCATTACAACATCAGATAATGTCCCTTCTGGTGACTCATGTCCCGATCATTCATCAGCATTTCCAGACGATTCACCAGCACTCGTTTATTTTAAAGAAGTTATCAAATGTTGTTTGTTTTTTAAATTTTTCGATAGTGTCCAAATGCATCATTATCAAATGCATTAATAAGCTTATTCTTCTTCTTCTTTGCGTTCACCAGTTCACCAGCTGGCGGAAAGTTCTGGTTGTTGGTTCACTTCTGAACTGCAGTCCTGCTCCAGAACTTGAGTGTTGCGTGTGCATCAGTTTTACAGATCTGATTCACTTGAATGCAGACTGTTGGTTCCTTGCCCTTCAGGCAGATGTACTCCGACTTCAAAGGAAGCTGCCCAATTAGTCAACTCTTACGACATGCTTTTGGGTAGAATAAGCTTCTTAACTATAGCAATGTTTTCTAGATAAAAACCTGCATTGTTTCCCAGTGGACAGCCATTCCTTAACTCCAGCACTTGGAATTGGCTCACCATCTTTGTTTTCCTCATCTGATGAATCGTCAGAGGAGAGATAAATACTGAATTTTTGGGTGAATATCAAACAAATTTGTTTTTACAAAAAACGACAAATAAAAAATAAAAAAGACGAATATTGTTGCGGACAAATACTGAAGTTCCATATATTTATAAATTATAATAAGTTCTTCTGTTACTGTTAACAAACTCTGTCCCGGCATGAGATGCAATAAATGTATAATTTTAAAGTCCCACCCAGGCTGTTGCAGGGGAGCTCTAGAATAACCGAGCAGCTGAACGGGGTTTCTGGGGTTTTTGCTTAGGGGATTCACATCTGAATAACTGAGCTTTGTGCCACTGGGTGTAAATGGCTCCTTATTGTGTTAAATGTCACTTACTTCAGTGACTGTTTAAAAAAAAAAACAACGTACGATGGGGTACACAGTGAGAACCACTGTCCTTGAGAATTATGTGGTCATCACTGTTATTGAGGCTAGGTTTACAGTAAGGTCATCAGGCTAAAAGAAAATGACTGCTCTAGGGTTTCTCAGTAAGCAGACAAATTATTAGCACATAATACTACAAAGAGAGAAGGACAAGAAGAGAGGAAGAGAGTAAAGCAGAAAGATAAAGACAAAGAATGAGAGAGAGAGACCACAGCTAGATTCTTTCTTTCCCTCCCAGCCTCCATAAACGGAAAGACTGAAAGGGAGATAAAACAAAAGGGGGGGGGGGGGGCTGTTCTATTGCACTGTGCATTTGATCCCAGAGAGCATTACCCACGTCCGCATTATCATAAAGTAGCTCACTGCCGAGATGATTGGCAGCAGCTGATCTATCAGCCTGTTTGTTACCCCGCACATATAAATAAAACCTGGACAGACAATTTGATTCCAGAGACAGAGAGAGAGAGAGAGAGAGACAGAGAGAGAGAGAGAGACAGAGACCAAGAGAGAGAGACAGACACCGAGAAAAAGAGACCGAGACAGAGAGAGAGATCACATTTTATTTTAAAAGGGTCTCAAATTGTACAAGCAGGCCTATCTAACCTTAAACCCCTACAAACATTCATCTTTGACACTGCAGTGTCATTTTTCTATAAAGCATATTTCATTCACAAAGCAGTATAGGAGAAAAGGAAGGAGCAAAAAGAGATAACGACAGAGTGAGCAGATAGGAAAAAGAGACCATTTATGCTTTTCAAATACAAGTATTCATAGAACTATTACAAATATTTTTACAGTTATAATAGTTACATAAAACACCCAGGTATGTGGGTCTTCTTTATGTACATACACATACTCATATAATCTATCACATTCTCATCAAAATCTGTCAACCTTATGTACATCCTCTCATAAAAATTACTTGTAAAGCTGAAAATATTTCTTGCACAAAGATTCAAACCATGTTCATAGAATTGCATCGGCTAAAGAAATGAATATGCATCTAACTATGTCCGTAAATGGTTTTGAAAAAAAGGAAAAAAAAAACTTGTTTGGTTTGCATAAAATAGTTGGACTAGAAAATGAACTTTTCCAGCAAGTAAATTTTACCATAAAACTTTCACTCAGCATCGCTTCCTTTCAAATGCATGAACATAACAACATGAGGCGGAACGATCAGAAATGTCCACCGACATCCGAGCCAAATCCACAAAGGGAGGTATTTCATCGTGGGTAGAGGCTGGGCTGGGGCATCCCTATAGCCACAGATGTTGGGTAGGGTGTTGAATGTCCATGTGGGTACGTAGGTAGAGCTGAATGAGCGGGAGCGGCTGGTTGAGAGGGTAGGGTCCAGTTGCCGCTGGGGGAAGATCCCTCTCTGATGAGTTCTGCGAAACGTTCACTCTTGATTCGACGCAGATGGCTCTGGGTTCTTTTGGGTATGTACTCACTCAGAAACTCCTCGACGGCCAGCTGCCCACTACAAAAGTCATCGGCCAATTGCTGAAGTTCAAATAAACAATTAGGTTTGCAGTACAAAATATGTCGAGGTTTTAACAAATGATTATTATGTGTTATGTTTGTGAACCCTACAGATTTAGAATAAATAATGTCTATTAAACAAATATTCTCCCTGTGTGGGTTTCGGTCGACTTTTACTAACAGTCATCAACAACAAAGGATGAACAAACCTGGAAACAAAAGAAATGAGATATCCATGATGAATCCTAAATGTAACCAAGAGACAGGACCAGAAGTGTCAACGTCAGGAAACAGACACAAGATCAAAGAGTTCAGACACATGTCAAGTATACCACAAGAGACTGCATACACACATACAAAAACATCATTTAGACACAGCTAAAGCAGAACTAGTGATCGTCCACACAAGCAAGAAATTTTTAGAATATCTGAGGCCATAAACACACCAGCTTCCATGTAGTACACACTAACCCCACCAGATGCCTCTTCAAAACTTGATGCCGAAAGGCAGAACAAGGTCTAGAGAAAAGAAGAAGAAAGATTAACTCTTCCAGCAGAATTTCCCCAAAACATCCATCTAAGGGAGATAATCCCACAGCAAACGTCCAGGGGAGACAATGAGTAAAATATGAGTGCATTTATGACAACATGTGTGTCTGTATATCCACTCTGGGCTACTAATTAAAAAAATAGGACTTTATTAAGAGAGATTTTGTCATCTTAGAGTGGTCAAACCTGTAGGAAGCAACACATGGCAGAAGGAAGGAAATGACATCTTCTTAGTGTCCACAGTGGAAGGTTCTGGTTGTTCATCCATTCTGCATTTTGGTCTTGTTCCAGAACTTGAGTTTTGTGTGCACATTAGTTTTACAGATCTGGCCTATTTGTAAAAAGACTGTTGGTTCTTTGTTTTTCAGGCAGAAGAATTTCAACTCTGAAGGAAAAACTCCTAATTAGTCAACTTTTACGACATATTCTTTCAGGGGACAGTAGGACTGTTCTTTATTCCCCCCCCCCCCACCCACCCCACACTCAGTACCAGCAATAGAGATTTCATCACACTCAGTGCCACCACTAGGGGTTTCATCACACTCAGTGCCACCACTAGGGGTTTCATCACACTCAGTGCCACCACTAGAGGTTTCATCACACTCAGTACCAGCACTAGGGGTTTCACCACACTCAGTGTCAGCACTAGGGGTTTTACCACACTCAGTGACAGCACTAGTGGATTTACCACACTCAGTGCCACCACTAGGGGTTTCATCACACTCAGTGCCACCACTAGGGGTTTCACCACACTCAGTGTCAGCACTAGGGGTTTTACCACACTCAGTGTCAGCACTAGGGGTTTCATCACACTCAGTACCAGCACTAGGGGTTTGATCACACTCAGTGTCAGCACTAGGGGTTTCACCACACTCAGTGCCAGCACTAGGGGTTTGATCACACTCAGTGCCAGCACTAGGGGTTTCATCACACTCAGTGTCAGCACTAGGGGTTTCATCACACTCAGTGCCAACACTAGAGGTTTCATCACACTCAGTGTCAGCACTAGGGGTTTCATCACACTCAGTGTCAGCACTAGAGGTTTCATCACACTCAGTGCCAGCACTAGGGGTTTCACCACACTCAGTACCAGCACTAGGGGTTTCATCACACTCAGTGCCACCACTAGAGGTTTCATCACACTCAGTGCCAGCACTAGGGGTTTCATCACACTCAGTGCCACCACTAGGGGTTTCATCACACTCAGTGCCAGCACTAGGGGTTTCATCACACTCAGTGTCAGCAATAGGGGTTTCATCACACTCAGTGCCACCACTAGGGGTTTCATCACACTCAGTGCCAGCACTAGGGGTTTCATCACACTCAGTGCCAGCACTAGGGGTTTCATCACACTCAGTGCCAGCACTAGGGGTTTCACCACACTCAGTGTCAGCACTAGGGGTTTCACCACACTCAGTACCAGCACTAGGGGTTTCATCACACTCAGTGCCACCACTAGAGGTTTCATCACACTCAGTACCAGCACTAGGGGTTTCACCACACTCAGTGTCAGCACTAGGGGTTTTACCACACTCAGTGACAGCACTAGGAGATTTACCACACTCAGTGCCACCACTAGGGGTTTCATCACACTCAGTGCCACCACTAGGGGTTTCACCACACTCAGTGTCAGCACTAGGGGTTTTACCACACTCAGTGTCAGCACTAGGGGTTTCATTACACTCAGTACCAGCACTAGGGGTTTGATCACACTCAGTGTCAGCACTAGGGGTTTCACCACACTCAGTGCCAGCACTAGGGGTTTCATCACACTCAGTGCCAGCACTAGAGGTTTCATCACACTCAGTGTCAGCACTAGGGGTTTCATCACACTCAGTGCCAGCACTAGAGGTTTCATCACACTCAGTGTCAGCACTAGGGGTTTCATCACACTCAGTGTCAGCACTAGAGGTTTCATCACACTCAGTGCCAGCACTAGGGGTTTCACCACACTCAGTACCAGCACTAGGGGTTTCATCACACTCAGTGCCACCACTAGAGGTTTCATCACACTCAGTGTCAGCACTAGGGGTTTCATCACACTCAGTGCCAGCACTAGGGGTTTCATCACACTCACACTCAGGGTTTCATCACACTCAGTACCAGCACTAGGGGTTTCATCACACTCAGTGTCAGCACTAGGGGTTTCATCACACTCAGTGCCAGCACTAGGGGTTTCATCACACTCAGTGCCAGCACTAGGGGTTTCATCACACTCAGTGCCAGCACTAGGGGTTTCATCACACTCAGTGCCAGCACTAGGGGTTTCACCACACTCAGTGTCAGCACTAGGGGTTTCATCACACTCAGTGCCAGCACTAGGGGTTTCATCACACTCAGTGCCAGCACTAGGGGTTTCATCACACTCAGTGTCACTCAGTGTTTCATCACACTCAGTGCCAGCACTAGGGGTTTCATCACACTCAGTGCCAGCACTAGGGGTTTCATCACACTCACACTCAGTGCCAGCACTAGGGGTTTCATCACACTCAGTGTCAGCACTAGGGGTTTCACCACACTCAGTGCCAGCACTAGGGGTTTCACCACACTCAGTGTCAGCACTAGGGGTTTCATCACACTCAGTGCCAGCACTAGGGGTTTCATCACACTCAGTGTCAGCACTAGGGGTTTCATCACACTCAGTGTCAGCACTAGGGGTTTCATCACACTCAGTGCCAGCACTAGGGGTTTCACACTCACACTCAGTGCCAGCACTAGGGGTTTCATCACAGTGTCAGCACTAGTGTTTCACCACACTCAGTGCACTAGGGGTTTCACCACACTCAGTGTCAGCACTAGGGGTTTCACCACACTCAGTGTCAGCACTAGGGGTTTTACCACACTCAGTGTCAGCACTAGGGGTTTCATCACACTTTTACCACACTCAGTGCCAGCACTAGGGGTTTTATCACACTCAGTGTCAGCACTAGGGGTTTTCACCACACTCAGTGCCAGCACTAGGGGTTTCATCACACTCAGTGTCCAGCACTAGGGGTTTTATCACACTCACACTGTGCCAGCACTAGGGGTTTTACCACACTCAGTGTCAGCACTAGGGGTTTCATCACACTCAGTGCCAGCACTAGGGGTTTCATCACACTCAGTGTCAGCACTAGGGGTTTCATCACACTCAGTGCCAGCACTAGGGGTTTCATCACACTCAGTGCCAGCACTAGGGGTTTCATCACACTCAGTGCCAGCACTAGGGGTTTCATCACACTCAGTGCCAGCACTAGGGGTTTCATCACACTCAGTGCCAGCACTAGGGGTTTCATCACACTCAGTGCCAGCACTAGGGGTTTCATCACACTCAGTGCCAGCACTACTAGGGGTTTCATCACACTCAGTGCCAGCACTAGGGGTTTCATCACACTCAGTGCCAGCACTAGGGGTTTCATCACACTCAGTGCCAGCACTAGGGGTTTCATCACACTCAGTGTCAGCACTAGGGGTTTCACCACACTCAGTGCCAGCACTAGGGGTTTCATCACACTCAGTGCCAGCACTAGGGGTTTCATCACACTCAGTGCCAGCACTAGGGGTTTCATCACACTCAGTGCCAGCACTAGGGGTTTCATCACACTCAGTGCCAGCACTAGGGGTTTTACCACACTCAGTGCCAGCACTAGGGGTTTCACCACACTCAGTGCCAGCACTAGGGGTTTTACCACACTCAGTGTCAGCACTAGGGGTTTTACCACACTCAGTGCCAGCACTAGGGGTTTTACCACACTCAGTACCAGCACTAGGGGTTTCATCACACTCAGTGCCAGCACTAGGGGTTTTACCACACTCAGTGTCAGCACTAGGGGTTTCACCACACTCAGTGTCAGCACTAGGGGTTTCACCACACTCAGTGCCAGTACTAGGGGTTTTACCACACTCAGTACCAGCACTAGGGGTTTCACCACACTCAGTGCCAGCACTAGGGGTTTCACCACACTCAGTGCCAGCACTAGGGGTTTCATCACACTCAGTGCCAGCACTAGGGGTTTCATCACACTCAGTACCAGCACTAGGGGTTTCATCACACTCAGTACCAGCACTAGAGGTTTCATCACACTCAGTGCCAGCACTAGGGGTTTCATCACACTCAGTGCCAGCACTAGGGGTTTCATCACACTCAGTGACAGCACTAGGGGTTTCATCACACTCAGTGCCACCACTAGGGGTTTCATCACACTCAGTGCCAGCACTAGGGGTTTCATCACACTCAGTACCAGCACTAGAGGTTTCATCACACTCAGTGCCAGCACTAGGGGTTTCACCACACTCAGTGCCAGCACTAGGGGTTTCATCACACTCAGTGCCAGCACTAGGGGTTTCATCACACTCAGTGCCAGCACTAGGGGTTTCACCACACTCAGTGCCACCACTAGGGGTTTCATCACACTCAGTGCCAGCACTAGGGGTTTCACCACAGTATAATTTATGTTTCTCACTCTGTGCCAACAATGCTAGTGACATAAAAACTTAGCGGAAAGTTTCTAGGAAATAACAGCCAGACTTTTAAAAAACATCTCCAAAATATTAAAATCCCAAAATTGTTTGAACTTATATCGCTATATTTCATAAATGGGTAGGCAAATGAGAGCCCTGTCACTCAGACATAATGGAAGCTGACCCAGAGGTCGACAATGCAAGCAACCAATAGATGGAATATCCAATATCCAAGGCTGTAAATACCCGCTTCTATATAACTCATACTCTAGCTCCCATCCGATACCTCTTCAAACCCCGATGGTGAAGAGGCATAACAGGACTCAAGGAGCAGGAGAAGAAGAAGGGTATGCTAACTGCTGGGCCAGCTGCTGTTAAAAAGAAACTATTTACCTCCGATTCTTCTTCTGATTTAGCTGTTTCTGTTTGCATGAGTGCCAGCATTGTCTCCAGTGACTGTCTACCATCAAGAATGCTGTCTGTGTAGGAAAAGAACAAACAGGTTATCACAAATGTTTGATAACAGAACAGACAGGATATCTAGAATGTCGTCTGTGTAATGGAATCATCTAGCAACACTGAGACACAACAACATCATATCAACACATACAGAGACACAACAACATCATATCACCACATACAGAGACACAACATCATATTACCACATACAGAGAGACAACATCATATCACTACATACAGAGATGCAACATCATTGTATCTCCACATACAGAGACACAACATCATATCACCACATACAGAGACACAACATCATATCACCACATACAGAGACACAACATCATATCACCACATACAGAGACACAACATCATATCACCACATACAGAGACACAACATCATATCACCACATACAGAGACACAACATCATATCACCACATACAGAGACACAACATCATATCACCACATACAGAGACACAACATCATATCACCACATACAGAAACACAACATCACATCACCCCATACAGAGACACAACATCACATCACCACATACAGAGATACAACATCATATCACCACACACAGAGACAACATCACATCACCACATACAGAGACACAACATCACATCACCACATATAGAGACACAACGTCACATCACCACATACAGAGACACAACATCATATCACTACATACAAAGACACAACATCATACCACCACATACAGAGACACAACATCACATCACCACATACAGAGACACAGCATCATCATATCACCACATACAGAGACACAATATCACATCACCACATACAGAGACACAACATCATCATATCACCACATACAGAGACACAATATCATATCACCACATACAGTGACACAACATCACATCACCACCTAAAGAGAAATAAAAACATCATATCACCACATTTAGAGACACAACAACATTATATCACCACATTTAGAGACACAACAACATTATATCACCACATTTAGAGACACAACAACATCATATCACCACATTTAGAGACACAACAACATTATATCACCACATTTAGAGACACAACAACATTATATCACCACATTTAGAGACACAACAACATTATTTCACCACATACAGAGACACAATATCACATCACCACATACAGAGACACAACAACATCATATCACCACCTACAGTGACACAACATCACATCACCACCTAAAGAGAAATAAAAACATCATATCACCACATTTAGAGACACAACAACATTATATCACCACATTTAGAGACACAACAACATTATATCACTACATATAGAGTCACAACAACATTATATCACCACATATAAAGACACAAAGAGAAGTTTGTCAAAGATGTGTGTTACCCACAAACCTTTTTAACTCATATAAAAAAAAGCATGTTTAGGCATGTTGGAGAATTGTCTGGACTGAATTTTCATGGAAGAACAATAAACAATCTCAGATACACTGATGACACAGTGTTCCTAGCAGAAACCGAGCAGGAGTTACAGGACCTAGTGGATCCAGTCAACAGGCAGAGTGCAGAATATGGATTAGACTTAACGCTCAGACAATGAACAGGCAACCAGAAAATCTAAGTTCCTGGAAATGTTGACATGTAGTAGAATAGGTCGTATTTCATTAGGTGTCAGCACTATGGGTTTCATCACACTCAGTGTCATCACTATGGGTTTCATCACACTCAGTGCCAGCACTAGGGGTTTCATCACACTCAGTGTCAGCACTATGGGTTTCATCACACTCAGTGTCAGCACTAGAGGTTTCACCACACTCAGTGCCACCACTAGGGGTTTCATCACACTCAGTGCCAGCACTAGGGGTTTCATCACACTCAGTGTCAGCACTAGGGGTTTTTCCACACTCAGTGTCAGCACTAGGGGTTTCATCACACTCAGTACCAGCACTAGGGGTTTCATCACACTCAGTACCAGCACTAGGGGTTTGATCACACTCAGTGCCAGCACTAAGGGTTTCATCACACTCAGTGTCAGCACTAGGGGTTTGATCACACTCAGTGCCAGCACTAAGGGTTTCATCACACTCAGTACCAGCACTAGGGGTTTGATCACACTCAGTGCCAGCACTAAGGGTTTCATCACACTCAGTGCCAGCACTAGGGGTTTCATCACACTCAGTGCCAGCACTAGGGGTTTCATGGAAATAAAAAACAATCAAATAAAGAAGCTCTGGAAAGACTGCAAATGAAAAGACAATTAATGAAATAAATACAAAAGAATTAAGTGAAATATTTTGACCACAGTGAAAGACACAACACTTTTTTTAAAGCCATACTGGAGGGAAAGTTTGAGAGCAGGAAAGAAAGAGGTAGACAACGATTCAAGCGGGAGAACAACACCAAGAAAAGAATGCACAGCAGTCTGAGGGAGTATAGAACATGAGGAGATAGAGGGTGTTTGAGATCAACTGCAGCCAACCTTAACTGTGTAGATGGCAACTGATTGACTTGTGTCTCTTAGGACACGCACTGTAGGTTAGAGCATTTTTTGCTTCCCTTTTAAACCCAGTAACATGGAATTGACTGTACTGCTTAAGATACAGGTTCCCAGCCCAACCCATGGGTCGTGACTGGGTCACAAAGGCTTTTCTTTGGGGTCGCAGAGTAGTGATGGGCTATGCAAATTTAGATACTAGAGTCTGAAATCACCTGCAGATGATCTGGTCACAGCCTACTTTGTGTGGGTACTGACAATAATATGAAATGTCTCCATGTGGGTTCCAGGGACCCAGGGTGAACCGTGACCCACTGCTTCCCCAACAAGTATGCTGTAAGAGTCGACCAATTGGGGGATTCCTTCCAAGTCAGGAGTGCATCTGCCTGAGAGGCAAGAAACTAACAATCTGCATACAAATTTGTCAAACTGATGTGCATGCAACACTCAGGCTCTAGAACGAGACTTAAGTCCAGAGGTGGATGAACAACCAGACAAAACTCTCCCCCAAAGTTTACAGTCGGTGAACCTGAAGCTGGTGAACGTGAAGAAGAAGATTTGAAATATGCACTGTGCCGAATGCAAGACAAACTACTGAACACAAAATCAGCTGGTAAAACCATACAACAGCCAATACATGCTGGAGCTGGTCTGCCGAGTTCTGGAAAGTGTTCACAACCAACAAGCCAGCAAAATTAGTGCTAACTGAACCATTATGGATGGAAGACACCGAGATGTTAACAATCCGCTCACCTAAACGTGCTTTACTTTCAGCCAAGTCTGTTTTTAAGGAGTTGATGTGTTCGTACTTGCTGGCAACTTCGTTCTTCAGACTCTCAAGTCGCGGCTGTAGGGACAGGTTGTACTCTGCCAGACTTTTGTTTGTAGCCACAAGATCGTCATGTTCTACCTGGAGAGACCTCACCTGCAACAGAGAGGACCACATCGGTCAGCTGACATCACAAACTGGCAACAGAGAGGACCACATCAGTCAGCTGACATCACAAACTGGCAACAGAGAGGACCACATGGGTCAGCTGACATCACAAACTGGCAACAGAGAGGACCACATCGGTCAGCTGACATAACAAACTGGCAACAGAGAGGACCACATGGGTCAGCTGACATCACAAACTGGCAACAGAGAGGACCACATGGGTCAGCTGACATCACAAACTGGCAACAAAGAGGACCACATCGGTCAGCTGACATCACAAACTGACAACAGAGAGGACCACATCGGTCAGCTGACATCACAAACTGGCAACAGAGAGGACCACATCGGTCAGCTGACATCACAAACTGGCAACAGAGAGGACCGCACTGGTCAGCTGACATCACAAACTGGCAACAGAGAGGACCACATGGGTCAGCTGACATCACAAACTGGCAACAGAGAGGACCGCACTGGTCAGCTGACATCACAAACTGGCAACAGAGAGGACCGCACTGGTCAGCTGACATCACAAACTGGCAACAGAGAGGACCACATCGGTCAGCTGACATCACAAACTGGCAACATTACCACAGACAGCCACAAGAGCCAGCTAACACAATCATACACTGGCAACATACATCTCTGTAGTAATCCTAAGAAGTGATCTCCCCAAAAAGGACAGGCCAAACAGGCAGTTGTCCTGGCAACATTTTCCAAACTTATCCTTTTCATGCGAGTAGTGCAATCAGCATGTGATGCTGAACTCATATTTTTATAAATCAATGGTTTATCAATGGATGATGAGGTCAACATCAAATTGGTCACCTTTACTTCCCAGGATAAAACTTGGTACCCGTTTCAGGTTGTGCTGACCTGGGAGCCAAGGTCATTTTTCTTTCAAATTCACCAGGTGTGGATTCAAACCAAAGACCTTCGGGCCAACATACAAGCCGCTATGATTTGAAGGTTGATCAATGAATAAATGAATGCTTGATGTGTTAGTCCTGTGTATACATATCTGGAGCCTTGCTAGTGCTAAGGAGGTCGTGTGCCGTGCTGTAGACCTCAACTACTGATCTATGGGAGGAGACACAACCGGTATACTTATGGAGAACTCTGGCGATATTTTATAAACCAAATTAGAACAATAAAAATAATTAAGAAGATAGAACCACTACCTGAGGCAAATCTTCAATAAGATCCTTGAGCTTTGAGTCATCATTAAGCAGATGCTGCAGATCCTTCTTGTCTAAATGCTGCAGCAGTTCAAAAGCAGATGCTTCATTCATTCTGGCCATGATGTTGTGGCTGCCAGGTAGATGATTGGTGTAGGAAGGAATGGAAGTGGTTGTGGGTGGTGCAGGGTAGGGCTGGTAACTGTTCTGCACACCAAAACTATTTGGTGGGCTGCTTCGGTATGCTTCAGTAAAGTTTTGATACATCGTGAGCTCTTATGTTCTGCCTGACGTCTGCTGGTTGATCTGTCAAATATTTTGCCACATGGATCAGGTTAATATACAATTATCCAATCTGAAGACTGATATAAAGTTGTGATCCTCTCATAAATGTTTTCATGAGAAAAAGTATAGTGGTTGCCCTTGACTTCCGCACCAATGTAAGTGGTTTGTGACCCTCGCCTTTGACAGCAATTTCAGGCGGTTGAGACAAGTAAATGTTATACTCGCACTGTTTCTACTTCTTCCTCTTCTCCTCCTCCACTTCTTACTTACTGTTTAATGATAGGATTTAAAGATGGTATTGGTACCAGAATCCCACTGTCTAAGACATGGAGAACTAAATCGATGGAGACATGGGGCAACCTGTTTCAAGCCAAACCTTTTTAGTCAAATTTTACAAGCAAGGCAGGTTACTCTGGTTCTATTCTTGGTTTCTCTTCAGGGAGCTAGCAACAAAGATGGCTACTGTCTGCAATTATAATTAGTAAAAAAGAATAATAACATAAATATAATCGTTATTGCTTTCTTCTTTTGTCCTACAGCTTGTGCCATAAGGTGTCACAGAAAGGAGTTACCTTTATAGAAGAAAATTAGAGCTTTTGAACTGAAATGCTACAGAAAAATTCTTAGAATATCCTGGACCAAAACAAGAATAAAAGGTCGACATTCTGCATGACCTGAACATCAAGACTTGGTAAACAAAAGTGTGCATGTCAAGAACTGAGAGCGCCATTCTGTAAAGGACAGGCAGATTGGCTGACCAGCTATTGAAGCCAATCTTTCTTATTCAACTGGCCAGATAGATGTATGTGATTTCTCTCAGTTAAGTTTTATGTTTATGTTTATTCGACGGATCAACATCATGGCATACGAAGCTGTAACCCATAAGTGCTCCGTTCTACTTCTAACTCAAGTCTGAGTCTGAAGAATCTCAGCGCAGTGCATGCACTCTATTGCACTGGCGAGGATCCTAAAATTACTTTGGGTAGATTTTCAACTCCGAATTTTGCCCAGGCAGCACCGTTAGGCTACTCTTTTTAATTTCCAACTGCCAAGGGATTTTTTTTACATGTGCAATAATACACACGGGCATCCAATCTTACTACCCAGAGATCAGGGGAAATTACTAGAAGTCCACGTGAAAATATCCCAGCCTCTACCGAGGCTTGAAGCCGGGACCTCCAGCACTCGAGGTGGAGACCATACCTTGAGACAACTCAGCTCCCCTCTCAGTTAAGTGATCCTGTGTTCATATTTGTGGTATTGTACATTTATGTAATGTGCGGCTCTACTTTGAACTTCCCCATAAAATGGCGGCCGTAATATGATGCCGTTTGAAAGAGAGCTAAATTGGCCAATTTCTGGCCATAAAATATCCAAAAATATCCGAATGGGGCTCAGTTCTATTAAAAATATATGTGCCGGCTCCGCATAACGAAACAAATGCTCTAACAGGGTCTCGGCGATACGTTGTTGTAGACCTGCTTCTGCGAGTGTGCCCTCACCGCCGACCGTATCCCCCGCGCCGCGCATAGCGGCGCGGATGGTTACTAAACTAGATGACTGGGACTCACGGGCGGGAGCTTCCGCATCTCCTGCAACTTCCTCCAATTACTTCACTCGTGAGTCCCAGGCACCTAGTTTAGCCCCCCATCCACGCCGCGCGTAGCGGCGTGGGGGACACGCTCGGCGATGAGTTTAATCGCATTTGGCGCATGCCGACAAGTGTGACATCTACCGCTGCTAAATCCTTCAATCGGAAGAACACAGTATTGCTAATCACTTTCATCGTCTGTAATGTCTCAAAATTGGTCAACGGTCAGTAATATCGTCTGCAGACACGCTTGAAATTGTCAACGGTCGTATTTATCGTCTGCTACTACCGTGTGCAATGTTGATATTGATTGTCAAGTAATCCTAGTTTTGCTGCGATTTGTTCCTTGGCAGAAAGTCCGTATTTTAGATATACGTGAACACCGTTGGGATATTTTTGGATATTTTATGGCCAGAATGTGCCATCATATGACGGCCGCCATTTAATGGGGAAGTTCAAAGTAGATCCTAATGTGCTGATGAAGGCTCTCTAGCCACAACGCCCACTCCACTTTGAGTTTGTGTTGGTTAATAAAATGAAATGTGAAGGTGACTGGTTTTAGTTTAGTTTAGTAGTTTCACTTTTTATTTTCAGTTTGATATCTTCTTTACAGATCCTCATTCGGATTCTACATGTATGTATATTGTCTCCACTTAATGTTAGTTTCTCTTCCACTGACATGCCTCGTAAATTGTATATGATGACACATTTGGTTTTTGAGTTTTCTCTTTTCGTTCTCGTTTTTTGGGTAACCACTGCCACTCACTTACTAGTACAACTAACTAACTACTACTATACTATACTATATATAATCATAATCACTAACTACAACCGGCACAACGTTTCCGTCGATTTACTTATTTACACTTGTTATTTACAGATACTGTTGACTGTTGTGTTGTGAAAAAACAACTAGAATGTGCGAATATCCCGTGCTTACCTTACAGGCGTTATACATCAATGAACAGATTAAACTAAAAGGTCCTATCCAGAAACACACACAGCTGGAGACGACGTGTCCAAGAAAGAAAGACAAGGGATTTCGTAACTACTGGAAAATGTTTGGTCTCATCAAGACATTACTCACAGTACAGGCTAAGTTACGAAACATTCCTTATATATTTAATAAGTGAAGTCGGCTTACTATTGCAGAGCTGGGACTGAGTGAAAACACACGTATGCACACAAAGTATAATTAATTAGTCTGTTGTTTGTGCGTGTAATCGCTTATGATGATACGTCTAACAAGCTTTTATCTGTATGTATATATATATATATATATATATATATATATATATATATATATATATATACACACACACACATACACAAGAGAAAAGGGCTCTAACAAAGACTTTAAAAGTCAACTGCATTATTTTTACGGGGACGTTGCAGGACAAACTCCAGCATATTTTGGCTGTTGTAGTTTTTGTAGACACATTTTACGTTCAGTAGTTTGCCATTGCTTACTAAACTGTCAGCTCTCAGTACCACTGTTAAAAGTAAAAGTTTTAATAAAACCAACGCAGGACGCTGGTCCCCCAAATCACCCACTGCTGGGATCGTCGTTCAACTCACTACTAATAGTATACTAGATTACTGCTGCTACTACTGCTGCTTCTGCTTGATGCTACAGATTTACTTACTCCTTGCTTAGCTCACGGATCCCTTCCTTTTAAAACATGGGCGGCATATTTTCACACAAAAAATATTTATTTATATTTGTGATCATTTTGTGCTATTTTAAAACTGTGACTGTGGTTACGAAGGTTTAACTCTGTTTTCGATGGCCGATAGAGAATCCGAACCGCAGGATCCATTCCGTCATTTTTTACAATCAATCATTCAATCAAGCAGCATGTCCTTACAGAACGTCGCTCTCTTCGCGACACGCCTGAAAGTCTCTCTTTCCCTAGCCAATTCTCCAGCTCTGTGTGCTTTCTTAGCCAATGTATTTGTAACCTTCAGGCTGCAGTTTCCGGAAAACGAGGCAGAGACCCACCTCCGCTAAAGTGGATCCAGAATATTGAAGATGAATTTGTGACAGTGTTTTTATAAAGATGATCTTTTCGTCTTTGTTGATTTAATTTGTGTCAGTTTTTTATAAAGAGGATTTTTTCGTCTTTGTTGATTTAATTTGTGTCAGTGTTTTTGTAAAGATGATCTTTTGGTCTTTGTTGATTTAATTTAAAAAAAAAATTGAGGATAAGATTTAAGAAGGATATAAGTAGAAAAATAACTTCTTTGTCCAGGCTGTGTATAATAGATTCAGTGTAGACATGCGAGATTGAAACGAACAGCTTAAAGCACACACCTTGCTAACTCGTGGTACACCGTTCGTTTGATTTTCACGTTAACGACTTGAATGTGGCCGGAGTTTATATCCTTCCACTGCCTTGTTATTATCATGTATTCTGTCTCATCTTGATTTATAACTAGTCCCAGTTTCTGAGCTTTTTCTTGTAAGAAAGTCAGTGTTTTACCAGTCTCTAGTTAATTTTCTCCAACGATATCAATGTCATCTGAATAACCTAGTATTCTTGTAGATTCTCCTATAGTACACTCTCGTTTCAATTTCCTTATAATTTTCTACAGGGCCAAGTTGAAAAGAAGTGAGGACAGAGCATCACCTTGCTTTAAACCAGATGTTATTTGAAAAGGGTCTGACTTTCTGCCTTTACTGTATATGTTACTCTATTATAAGTGTCTTCCATACAAAGTTTGGTCATGGTAATTACTTTGGTATTCCAAAGTCCTTCATACACTCCATAAACTGTTTCTATGCACACTATCATAACCTTTTTTTTTAAATCTACAAAAACATTATGTAATCTCTTCTGCAAATCCCAGTTTTGTTCTGCTATTGGACGTAAAATGAATATCTAATCTATTGTTGATCTGATCTGTCGGAAACCCGCTTGGTAATCTCCCAATATATCTCCGATTTATGGTTTTAGTCTGTTTAGCAGTACCGCCGATTGCATCTAATAGCTTGTAGATAATAGTGATATTTCTCTATAATTTTCACATTTTTACTTGTCTCCTTTCTCATAAATAGGTATTAATAACGTAACTTTTCACTCAAAGGGTAATTTCTCCGTCTTTCAAACTAGTTATATTAATTCATTTATCATTAAATGCAATGCATGACCACCTTCTTTTATAAGTTCAGCAGTAATTCCATCAGCATCAGTTGATTTATTGTTTTAATTAAAGCAGTGTTATTAAATACAGCACTTGTTCAAAATCAGGTTCTTTAATATTTAGTTCACATGTAAGTATCTATTCCAATGGATGAGGTCCTCGAGATTTGGGGTCAGAGGCGTGGGGCCGACACGACCACCTTCGTAAAACTTAATTTCGACATGAAACATATACCTAAGCTCATACT